AAAAAAAAAAAACCAGGAAATGATGCTCAATGGTTTTACCAATAAACAATGAATCGTAGACGTTTAACTCTATAGAATCACCAGGTGCCGTTGTTGATATTTCCAATTCATCCACAATAAGTGAAATTTGTCCTGCCTCCCTGAAAGAAGCGTAGAAGCTGATAACTAAACCAGGCCATTCGCCCATTATCAATTGCAAAGTGGTCTTTAAAAAAAGCGTTTAATTAACGTTCATTTTTTCCTTCTGTTGATATAACACTAAAACATTATTAATAAGAATTAACTGGTAAAAATAACTGTTCTTCACCTTAATATTACGATATCATGCCAGATCCCCTCCTCAACGGTACTTGGATGCGACAAAACAGAGACTCCAGAACCCAAATCAATTAGTAGCTCCAGTTTCTTATTTTTCAACAAATGGAGCCTCATAAAATCGCCATGATTATCTCCATTAGCTGCATAAACTAATACCTGAAAAATTAAAGGTTTTTTTGGACTGCTTAATGCCGTTTCAATCATTAACTGCGTTAACACTGTTACCAGATTGCCAATATTTGCACAAGCAGTAATTCAAAGTAACAAGGTTATTAATAGCATCAGATATTCTAGCCATTTACCTGTACTGACTGAGTTGCGTTTTCATTTTTGGGAATTTTCATCGATAATTTCAGATTTAATGTTCCACCCATTACACTACAATAATAATGGTGATTTTTGAAGAGAATTGAATGAATATTTCAAATTAGTATATTTATTCCTATTAAGTAAAAAGAAAGTTTACTTACTGCTCCATTACTTCTTTGCTGGCAAACCGAAGGTAAGACGAACCAGAAAATCTCATTGATTTCGATGACAATTCGTTTTCTAAACAACAACACACAATTAACTTTGATATGTATTTTTAAGTTTCTTGCAAAACTTGTAGGCACTGCCTCTATCTGGGGAACCACTGTAAGCATTATTACCGTTTGGGTAAAAGACAATGTTAACCGCTATGTAGAAAAGTTAATTACATATGCATTAGAGTTCCACCAATTACTAATGGCAGTTACAAATTTTACCAGTTCTTCAATTTTTACACACTCCAC